ACCTAGACACTGCAATAAAAGACCTGCTCAAGACAAAAAAGAAGTCAAAGAAAAAAACCAGAGACCTAAAGCGGAAATCTAGGAAGTGCCTCAAGGATGAAGAACCAATGCTGGGAAATGCTTTACCGACCAAAAGGTCCAAACCTGATCCAATTTCCAAGCGCAGTGCTTTCAAGAAAGTATATAAGAGCAAGGATGACATGAAAGAGAAGTCTGGGTTGGGTAAAATGAGCATTTCACAACATAAACAAAATAATAAGAGTGAAGAGCATGATATGCATGAAGATGAAACAGAGAAATTGAAAGCAACTCAAGGGCAAAACACGCCGTCACTGCACAATACTCAGACTGCTCTTCAGATAAAGGAAGATAGCAGTTCAGTAGACAGCGATGATAGCATTGAGCAAGAGATCAGAAGGTTTCTGGCTGAAAAGGCCAAAGTTTCCACTGCAGAGAAAAGTAACGGCACTGACACAGTTTGTACCCTACTTCAAGCTGAAGACATTAAACAGGAAAATCAGCTGGCTGAAATTCCAAGAAAAAGCATCAGCCCTCTCTCTGGACAGTCTCCACTGAGTAGTCAGCCTCTTCCAACGCCACAGAGTTCTCTGCCAGACATCTCTATCGGGGCACATTCATACCTGTCCTCAGTCCAGTCCCGCAGCCCCAGTCTTTTGGAACCAGCAGACGGGGCAGGGGCTGCGAGAACGGAGCAAAGGAGGCCTGGCGCTGGGAGAGGCAACATCCAGGATGTTACCCCACAGGTGGAGAGGGTTCGGACGGTTTTGAGTCCTAACCTTGCTCATTCCCGCTTGGAGTCAATCAAGTGGCGCCAGAGCCTTGGACTCCCCACTACTGACACTAGGACTCCGAGTCGAACTCCATTCCTTATCACATCATCTAAAACCAGCGAGATTGCAACAGCAGCTCCACCATTTCAAAGCGGGGTCATCACCCCCAAATCACAGACTCCAGTCACTGTTTGGTCCTCTGCAAGGACCAGCAGAGCACCATTCCCCTGTTCTGCAGAGACAACTGTAAATACCACATTCAGAGCCCCTGTTTTAAACCTTTTATCTACTGCCAGGCAGCATCCAAGGATGTCCTTTTCACAGAGCCTCCCACCTGGCCACAGATCACAGTGCCCTATAGACGGAGAGACGGAGAGTATGGTGCATATGCGTAAGGACAAGAGCGTGTTTGTTGAGCTGGAATCTAATAGGACCAACCATGTCCAGGTGCGAAGCAGGGAAAGGAGCGAGGGAAAGGAGAGAGTCAACTTGCTAAGTGAGATAAAAAGAGAAGGCGAGAGCATGAAGATAGATGATAAAGAAGTACATCTAGAAAGAACAGAGGAAGAATTTATAGATGAGGCAGATTGTGAGTCAGACAAAAGGAGAAATCCAGAGAAGAAGCAGGGCTTTTCCACATTGTAAGTATTTTCTTTGGTCAATATGTCCCATAGCATCATATTCCAATTTTATGTAAGTTCATTTCTTGATTGTGCCCTGTTAACAAATATAATGTAGGTTATGATCAAGCTCATTGATTTATAGGCTCTAAGGGAACGTTTGTTAATATGATTAAACAAAACATGCATTTTTTTAATGCGTTTGTACATTTATACGGCTATGTAACACAATGGCACCATCATGAAAACTTTTTTTTTTTTTGTGCTCTGAGGTTAAATCATATCATCGAACCTTTAAAAAGCAATACAGTGACATATTGGTACAAGAGGCAGACTGCATGAGTAGAATACTTTCGTGCAAAAAATGACATTGTCCTAAATATCTGTCACGTTTTATGTAAATTTGAAGTGACCAAGAAAAGTAACCAGTCATTATGACAAAATAAGGGTTTGTGGTTAAGTCCAAATGCTTAAAATTTGGTTGTATCTTTTAAATGTACCAGTGGGACAATGTAAATTAGCAATGCTAATCAAAACATACATGCTGATATTACATAATCTTACACAATTCACATGTGGTATGTAGGTTTACTTTAAGAGGTCAAAGACGATTTATGTGCAAAAGTTAAAAAGTAATTATTTTTTATGTTATTGTAATACGTTTCTGTCACAGCCTTCATTAGGGGCATCTCAATTAAAGTCAAAAGATAAAACGTATATAACTAGATCCATTTACGCTCAGGTGTACAGTAAATATAATAAATTAAACATTTTTACACAGCTTGGTACGTTTACTAGACTCTAGATTACTAAAATAAAGACTGTGTGCATGCAAAACATTTATGACCTGATTTATTAGACCTGAAATGATGATTAGTCTAGAGAAAATCAACATTTGAAGACGTTACCTTGGGCTCTGAGAAGCTCTGATTGCCATTTTTTTACTCCTCTATAGTAAAAGATTAATGATCATCAATAATGAAAATAAGCATCAGTAGCAGTCCTAAGCAATCTCATGCAGAGTGGGGTTACATGGCAAAAATGTTATAATAAAAAATTTCTATAACATGAGATTACATTTATCAAAAAACTATCCTAAAAGTGCTTATTTATTAATAAAAAAGAGATCAAATCTAGCATAATAGAGTTAACCACGACTTTACCTGACCAAATTCAAACATGTCAAACATTTACTGAATTGTTCACGGTTTCGCCCTGGTTGCTTGTGTCAACAGACTCCTCCCCATATAGTACCATCCCACTCAAGTGTAGCCAAGAATAATCACTCTGTAGAGACCTTTTTCACAGCAGCCATTTTGACATGAAATGGTAGCATAATAAGCACAGGTTCTACCAATGATACTAATGAAGGTTCCACGTCATTATAGTGTAGCAGAGCTTTTCCAGTGAGCCAACATGCACAGTAGCAGCCCCCTGAATCTGCTCGACCTGAATGGAATGGAACCTTAATTACTATCGCTGATAAACACCCGTGTTTACCCGACTATTTCATGTCAAAATGGATGCTGTGAAAAAAGGTCTATTCTCAGCTCCACCTTCAAAACATGCCACTTTACTTCCTCACTCACTCTATCTCACCTCTTTGTCATTATCTCACGCTGCTGAAGTTCTAAATCTGGCTGCTTCTAATAAAATAATATGTTATAATTACTTTCTCACCCACACATTGACCTTTCTAACTTTTGCACATGAAAAGAAAATGCCGGGGTACACTTTTGAAACACATAACCCTTGACCCACCTTTTTAGGGCAAATTTAGAACACCAGTGGGTACTGGAATCATTTTTGTTTCTTTTCCCAACTACATGAAGATATTACGCTTCATCTTGCCAGCACTATTGGTTTTTCAGACACAGTGCCCTTAGTTTATTATATGGTTTAAATTTATAGATGGGAATTTAAATCTCATTTGTCGATGAAAGCCACTGTAAAAGTCTTGGACTTATTACCTCTACGACTCAAGTGTTGTTCCAGATTCCACAGAAGCCACATAGTTACTCCTCTCTGTCTTGCTATACTTGATATTTAGTGTGTTCATTTCTTTGTCATGTTAAAGTTTTCTTGAATTTCATATGTGAAAAAAGGCTATTTATTTTTGTTTATCAAAAAAAAAAGGAACTGAACATGCTGTGCATTGCCAGGTTTTGTAAATATTTTGTAAGAAGTGTTTCTTTTTTCTTTTACTCTTTCTGAAAAACAACTTTTGCTGTGTCTTTTAAGTGCATCTGTGTAATAAAGAGTGGAATCCGAGGAACAGTGGGTCTCTCATTAATAATGTATAATAATTTGCATCATAGTTAAATGCCTCATGGATGATTACTGGTTTAATTTACAGGCTTGAAGATGGACTTTGGGATCAATTATGAGATGATTAAGTAATTACTGGGAATTGGTCTGATGTGTATCCTGCTCTGCCTTGCCCAGGTCTTTGTCCAGTGCCATTGACCCTGGCATCACCTTCAGACCTTGCATAGCTCTTACAACAGAGGAGAGAAGCAGGATGTTCAACGGGAGGTACCTGGCTAGAAAATGCAAGAAGGTACAATTATGTAGAATCATGGCCGCAAGTTAATTTTGCTTCAGTATTTGTATCCCTATAAGATGAAAACCAGATATTCAGTAACATATTAGCTAAGTTCACTAGCCTGGAAAGGAAAGCTGAGCATATAGTTTTACTTTGGCTTTTTGTAAAAAAGTTCCAGATCCAGCGAGTGTGAAATATGTATTATACGATGCTTGCAGGGGGTACCTTCACTCAAAGGTGGTCCTGCGCAGAACAAGGCCGTGCAGCGTGTCAAAAGAAAGCTTCAGTTCATTCCAGTCGACAGGTATGTGATTGGACACAAATGGTTTGGTCTTCACAGTGAGTGATCAGAGTTAAATGAAAACCAACTCATCGTAGATGATTTCCCTCTTTTTCAGGAGAAAGGAAGCACCCAGTGACCAGAGCACAACATAATAACACTTCTGCATTTAAAAAACATGCATATAGATAATGCTTGAAATTACAGTATGTGGGTTGTTGAATAATCATTTTGCACTAAGTGTTTGTTTATGTAAGGTTGGCTTTTCAGGTTTGATGTTGCAGGCTAGTGGCAATTTTGTATTGTGGCTTCATGTTTACAGTACATATTTTTTTAGTTGGATTTTGAAGCAAAAATGGGTTTGCCCTGTTTTTTAATATTATAAGTTATATGTTAAGATTCTCCAAAATATATAACAATACATTTATTTGACTAAAAAGTAAATCATTAACCCCAAGAACTCCTGCCATTAGTCTTAACTACAATTTAATATTTAGTTTGTTTCACATTTCTACTGAATAATAAGAGTTTACTGGTGTTATGGTTTTAGGGTCAGTTGCTGTTCTGTAAAACTCATGTTGGATCAGATAGATTAAAATTAATTCTTCTATCAGTTATTTCTTAACATTGCCGTTGTTTTATGTTCTAGTATGGCTTTTTGTAGCTAAATGACATGCGTAGTGTTTTTGTTTTTCAATAAAGTTGTGAGGGAAAAAAAAAAGGATCTATGGGTAGTGTAGTGCATTATCCACGACAGCGCTTAGCTTTTCGGCATCCCAGGAACTACAAACGCGCAGCCGCAGTTGGCTGACCTTCTGTGGTACTGAAGCAAGCATGGCGACCAGGGCGCTGACTAAAGGTAGGAGCACATAACTGTCCGACAGTGTGGCGTTATGGTCGGGGGGGATATCTTGAATGTAATGTTATTTCAGACATCTTTAGATGCGTAGAAGAGCTGTGGCGTCGTTTTATGTTTGTAACCCTGAACGACAAGTTGTTAACTTAACGTCAGCTCATAGCTAGCAGCTAGCTGGGTAGCTGGCGTTAGCGGAACTCGCCTCAGTGATGTTTTGACCGATGTTTTGACCGATGTTTTGACCAATGTTTTGACCGATATCTCTGCCTTGCGTTCAGGTCTTTTGGGGCTACGACACTCACGGGCTGTTACGGTCGGATACTCCTGTGGTGGACATCACTATGCCGCTGCAGCGTCCATCAAACCACCTCCACCCCAAGTTGACCACGGTGAGCTTACTGTGTGAGGCAGTGTTGGTTGGTGCTGTTTTTCTCCAGACTCTCAGCAATGTCATTTTATCCTCCATACAGAACAAATCATAAACAAGCCGCTCGAGAAGCCGGACTTCTTCCGTGTGTCTGAGCTCGTCTCGTTGAAAGACCTGTTCCACGCCAGAGTGCATCTTGGTCACAAAAAAGGTTGCAGGCACAGGTTGGTATTAATTCCCACAGCTCAGCGACTGTTTGTCGGTGTTGTTGCTCAAATGTCAGTCTCTCTAAATGTACCACTTGCTTGCTTGAACATCTAGATAAATGATGTCATTCAGAGGAAACACGAGACGTTAAAGCAGTTCTGTTGATTGTGAGGGATATTGCTGCAACTAATGGTTCTTTTCATTATCAAGTAATATACTTTTTTTGAGTACTGATTAATGTTTAGGTCTCTGTTTTGTCTGACCCACAGTTAAATGCCAAAGGTTCAGTTTACGATCCCAAACAACAGTGAAAAGCAGAATCACAATTTAAAAATGACAATCAGTTATTAAACTAGTTATTGCTATCTTACACTGACACTAACTTATCAGTCAGTTGTCTAATTGTTTAAGCTCTTGCAAAGGATGTGGAGATCTACCAGATAATACACAGTTAACATAAAACTTACATTCATTATATATTTAATATTTGGTTGCATGTTTGCAGTTGTGTGAAGTGTACATCCCAACAACAGCAGACATTCGGGGTGTGACATTTAGCCTTTCATCTTGTCAGGAGTATTAAAACCTATAGCCTCATGGTTGCTTTGGCTAATATGTTTAGGGTTATTGGGCTTCATGCAAGTGTATGGGTTAGTTTTTGTATTATTCCTGAACTTCTCTTACTTTTTTTT